TTTTATCGATTCTTCCTGTGACCCTTCCCTTGACCAGTCATTGTGGGAAAAATGACAGACCAGTGGGTTGTGGATTTTTGGGCTCTATCTGTAGACAAACTAATATGACTATATCCTTTATTTTACTAATATTGATCCTTGAGTTGCTCCTAGTGGCAAAATTCTAAGAAAATTCTTAGAAACGTGTGCATTTCCCCTTAGAATTAACGAGAAGATCCTACTAAAGATAAAAGTGATTGACAAAGCATCTTAACCCTTAAAAGAGCTCTTAAGATCAAAAAGTGTTAGGAGGAAGGAGGAGGACTTTTAAAGGGATAGTTCACCCAAAAATGAAAATTCTGTAATTAATTACTCACCCTCGTGTTGTTCGAAACCCGTAAGACCTTCATTCATCTTCGGAACACAATTTAAGATATTTTTGATGAAATCTGAGGGCTCTCTGACCCTCCCATAGACAGCAAGGTAACTACCACGTTCAAGGTCCAGAAAAGTACCAAGATGATCGACAAAGTAGTCCGTGTGACATCAGTGGTTCAACTGTAAAGTTACGAAGCTACGAGAATACTTTTTTGAGCAAAGAAAACAAAAATAACGACTTTATTCCACATTTCCATCTCTACTGCATCACTTTGGACACGCGTTCACGACAGTATCATGACGTGAGCGTGTGGCGGCGCCGGCTTTTGTTCCGAAGATGAACGAAAGTCTTACGGGTTTCAAACAACACGAGGGTGAGTAATTAATGACAGAATTTTTATTTTTGGGTGAACTAACCCTGTAAGAGGTTTAAGAGTTTCTTTAGCAGAGGAGAAAATGGCCGAAAGACGAAGAGGGAGAAGAAATGTGTTGCAGACAGTGGATGACAGTGACTTAATAAGATGCTAGATTAGGTTGTGCAGCGATCATGTGTGCGACCGGTCTTATTAGAGACACAACAACATCCATAGATAGATGTAGATCACACAAAAGTTAGCAAGTTTTTGGGAACAACTATTTGGAAGTCAGTAACTACAGAGACTGTGGAAAAGTACATAAAAACAATGCCAGCAAGATTATAAGCCGTTATCAGGGCCAAAGAAGGCCATACAAAATAAAAAAATAATACAATGCATACGTTTTTTTGTTATTATCTGTGAATAAAGACTATTTAGTTGTTTCAGTTTGTTATTTGCCCAGGTAACTTAAGGACCTGAAAGCAAATGAAGTATGGCACGTTTGATGTCACTTCACAAACTAGAGATCACGTGAGTCACGCCCACACCAAACATTTAAAGCAAGGCAGGTTCATTTTGTTTGGCATTGTAGCTGCTCATTGATGCTTGTGTTGGGAGAGTGACTGAAGAGAAAAGAGTATGGTATTTCTGGTTAGAGGTGTAGTGACAACTTGTAAAATGGCATCTATCTATACAAATGGTGATTTCATAAAGCTGGAAGATTACGAACAGCCAACCTCAGCTAGTAAGACATTTTTAAATGAATTTTAGGCATGACTTTATTTGTTATAGTAAATGACTTGTTATTTTTTAAATATTACCTGCTTTCCTTTACAAAACGTCTTCTCGTTTAAATCCTTACCTGGATTGGGATCCAAAGACAAAAGACATAGCAGGTGCCTCTCAATGCTGGATGTTAAAAATGTTCAGTCTATCACAGACATTTTAAATATGACTTTCAAACTGATTTCAAGTGACCAAAATGTTGAGGTGTTCAGACAGATACTTGCAGACATTATATCATATTTAACATTAATATATGATTAATAGATCTGCCTGGGTGTTTACAGGTGAATCTGAACAAATATTCCCATCTAAGAAAGAGAAAGACCCGTCCTATAAGGCAGTTCTTCTGGCTGTCCTTTGTATCACTCTGCTCGTGGCTCTGCTGGCTCTGTGTGTCCTGGGAATTCTCTGTGAGTACACAATATCTTAACACTTATTATGTTCACTCATTGTGCAACATTTATTTATACATACAGGGCACAGTTTCCTGCATTTTGTGCAGCACATAACTCACATTATAAGCATGGTATAGTTTACACCTAAACGGTACACTTTCACATAATGACAAAATGTGATATACTCACTTTAGATTCCAAACAACTGAGGTTGTCTGATATGTTAAAAGAGCAGAGCAGAAATACTGCAGTCGACACTGAAATACAGGAGCAGAATGCTACAGGTGAGGAAACATACTCTATACATATGTATTTAGCATTTTCTACAAAAATATTTCGCAATTTTTTAATAAAAGTGAATTCATGAAATTGATACACAATTATTTCTAAACAACTAAAATGTAGCCAATTCCTTGCAAAATCATTGAATCTGTGTATTTAAGTGTATTTAAACATCTTACTGAAACTGTAACCCACGACAGTGTGGGGACAATCTAAAATGCTTAACGTGAAAAACGCTTAACGTGGCTTAACGTACGTAAACAACGACCAGGGAAACCCAGATTTTTGGCAAACCTTACTTGTAATAAACACTAACTACTGTCAAAAGAACGAGCCCTTACTCCACAGATGAAGTGAATAATATCACGTTGTGTTTTCTCCCCCATAGAAGTCCATTATAAGGAAACAGCTTCACGTGTTATGATCCAAAAGTGCAGACAAATCAATAAACTTGACAATGAATGCTTTGTTGTCCCATTGTTTGGGGGCGTTGACCCTGTTCGCATGGCTCGTGTAGCTCAGGGGCCTGTACCATGAAGCTGGATTAGCTGGCTAGCCAGGTAAGTTTCAGTTTAGTTTGCACCAATCCTGGGTTTTAGGTACCATGAAAGTGGCTTGGCTTTTAGTGGTGTTCATCACCATAGTAACTTACACTGCTCTGGGGCAGGTTATGTTCTGGTTTAGAGATCTCAAACCGAAATTTGACCAATCAGCTTCAAGCAAAGTGACGCATCTCTGATGCAATAAAGACACTCCCCCATTTTCTCTTAGTCCAAATTAAAGGACGCTACATAGTAAAACATTTTTAAAGATAAAATTGTCTGATTTTTAGATATGATTAATTTTTATAATTATTTTATATGGTTTATATAATTATTATACCCTTAATCCATTACACAAGCTAGCTTAGTTTAATAGTAATTACAGCTTTTATTTTAAATTTATATAAACATATAGATAATATGCCATATAAATAAGTTTTAGAATCAATAGCTTTAAACATGACTACATATGTGACCCACCCTGGACCACAAAACCAGTCATAAGGGTCAATTGTTCGAAATTGAGATGTATACATCATCTGAAAGCTGAATAAATAAGCTTTCCATTGATGTATGGTTTGTTAGGATAGGACAATATTTGGCTGAGATACAACTATTTGAGTAACTGGAATCTGAGGGTGCAAAAAAATCCAAATATTGAGAAAATCGCCTTTAAAGTTGCCCAAATGAAGTTCTTAGCAATGCATATTACTAATCAAAAATTAAGTTTTAATATATTTACAGTAGGAAATTTACAAAATATCTTCATGGAACATGATCTTTACTTAATATCCTAATGATTTTTGGCATAAAAGAAAAATCGATAATTTTGACCCATACAATGTATTTTTGGCTATTGCTACAAATATACCCCAGCGACTTAAGACTGGTTTTGTGCTCCAGGGTCACATATGAGCTTAGAGGTGTTTTTATACCTATAAATATTATCAACTCTATAAACTAACTTTACAACTTTTACTTGCACTTATATGGCAAGATGTTTTCTTTAAGTTTTCCTCTTAAGTCAGGATCAAGCCTGACTTGACAGAGAAAGTTGATGATCAGCTTCATGGAACAAACAAAGCTGGATTGGACTGGTTTGGTTTTGTGAACTCAAAACTAATCCTGTAACCCTGAGTTTGTTCAGCCACCATCATGGTACAGGCCCCAGAATAGAGCTCTGCGTGAGGGCGTGATCATTAGAGATAATGAGCAGAGAGACAGGAGAAACCTGTACCTGTCTTTACTTTCATGCTTATTACAAAATTGAACTGAACAAAATTACAATGTTCTCAGTTCGTAGATGCGTCCATGTTAAGCTGTTTCCTTATAATGGACTTCAATGGGGAGAACGCTTAACGTGATATTATTCACGTTATACGCTGAACATGGGCGTTGCTAGGCCATTTTTAGGGGGGCTATATCAGCTACCTCGCACCGGGCCCCACGTCAGCTAAGGACGGCCCTGGGTGGAGCAATCGGTTCCTCATCTACTGTAGCCTATAGTTTTCGCTGCGTTCACCCCTCATCACACCACAGATTTCCTCCAGTGAAAATTAAGCAGATATGAACGCATATACTTTATAAAACGATGTTGCCTTTTTCATTTGAATATATATATATATATACTGTATATATATATTATACCCTCATTGGGGGCTGAGCCCCCCTAAAATGAAAATCCTGGAATCGCCCCTGACACTGAATAAGAAGAGCTGGTTCTTTTGACAGCAGAAAGTGTTTATTATAAGTAAAATTTGACAGAAATGTGGTTTTCCCCAGTCGTTGTTAAGTTACGTTAAACCATGTTAAACTGTTTACTTATAATGGACTTCTATGGGGGAGAAAATGCTTAACGTGATATTATTCACTTTATCTGTGGAGTAAGGGCTCGTTCTTTTGACAGTTCTTCTTGTTTATTACAAGTAAGGTTTGACAGAAATTTGAGTTTCCCTGGTCGGTGTTTAGGTACGTTAAGCCACGTTAAGCGTTTTTCACGTTAAGCGTTTTGAATGTCCCAACAGCATGTAACGTTACGCGGGCGTGACTTGTATAGGCTACCACTGAAAGTTTGTGACTTTCATGTGCTGGAAAATGTCCTTGTGTATCTGCTGCTGTAGAAATGGCTCCGAAGAGACGTATTTTCTCGTGGAGTTCTCGTTTACATGAGTCAAGCAGTTAAAGTGAAGATCAAACAGTTCCCGAACCTTCATGTGCTTTAACTGTAACTGTGTGCGTGCTAACGGTGGAGCAGCTACATGCATGCTCTGGCTGTGTGGCTGAACTTCACTCGGCTGCTTCGGCTGTGAAGTTCATCCATGATGAACTGCGCGACTTTTTCCAAGTATTCCTTGCTGGATTTGGCCTTCACGGTCATTGGCGTGAGCACGTTTCTGTTTGATGTGGGCTCGGATCTGTGGGTGGCGAAGGAGCTCTACACGCATGGAGAGTTCATGTGGTTTGGGGTCTTGCTGGGCTTCATGCTCATGTCATCTGTCGTCATTCAGCTGTTCAGCTGGTTTTGGCTAAAGTATGATCGCGAGTTGAAGGACTTTGAGTCTCAAGCGTCCGCCAGGAACGTAGTTCTGTTCAGTGGGGCGAAGAGAGTCAAATTGTTGCTCGTCGTGCATGTGTTTCAGCTGGGCTTCTTCATCAGGTGAGACTGCAGCTACTTCACGAGACCGTTACAGAAAGCAGATTTATTTACCCACGTATTAACAAAATAAATAAATAAATACAAGTGATAATAAAAAAAGATAATAAGATAATCAACATTTCAATAAAATATAAAAACATCTAAAAATAAATCAAGTTATTAAGTGCAAAACTAATATTGTAAACTCTTTTATGTTTATTTATATTTATTTAAAGGCCCAGTTAGATAAATCTGTAAAACTTGAAGCTGTTACATTCCGATTATGTAATAGTCTTGCTATCATTTATCTACGGCTCGATAACGGTGTTATGGATCAACTGGGGATGTGCGCATATTAACTATTTTACGTCCCATTCCAGCAGATTCGTCAAAAGCGACTGCAAAGCTGTAATGAAAAGACGTTGGCATTCTTAATGTTCTTAATAAATGTTGATGCAATTATTACGCTGTGTTGTTTCCTCAATACCTGGTTTATATGAAGGTATTTTTGGAGCAAAACAACTGAGCGTCTGTGACAGCGGAATTTGTAGTTGTAGAGAATAGCCACACACACACACGTGTGTACCAGTAAATTTGAAGTCACAGACAAAAGTTGCAAACTTGTAGATTTTTTTTCCTCTCCCACAAACACAACACAATAGTTACACCTTCTCGAATCCTTCACTGCAGGTGCACAAATCCTATTCTACGAATCACAAATCAAGAAGCTTATACGCTCACATGTTTTGCTACTATTGCTGCAGTGAATATGGTGCAAAACACATTCACACACCTCCATCAAAAATGTGAAGTCACAGACGAATTTTGTACATCCGCAAATCAGTATGTGAATTCTTGCAATGAGATTTGCACGCTTGTAGAATGTTTTCTTACATATATTTTTTTTTTCCTTGGATGCTTTTTCTAGCACAAACACAAGTGCACAACAACAATGGCGTGAATCTGCTGCTACGAGTCTCAAACCTGTTTTTCACTTGCAAATGACAAGTTTTGCGCACTCTCACTTTTGCACCACATATCTGTGTGACATATGGTGCAAAAGTGATTTGTGCATCTGTAGAGGCAACAGCGGGCACTGTTCAGAGATCAGCCAATCAGAAGAGATAGTTTAGGTGCCTATCAGCAGGGAGGGAAAAAAAAAACTTTCGCAAGCTGCGAGCATCTTACGAAGCTGACAGCAGCAAATACCAATAAAGGTAAATTTTTTTTCTTTTTCTGAAGTCACTCACCGTTATACTGTACATTTGTTTATAGTTTAAATATTAAATGAGTTTAGCTCCCACCCTGATAAAAATCACCTGTAGCATTCTAGTAATCCTAATTAAGTTAACTGGTAGAGGTGTGTTTGATTAGGGTTGAAGGGGTCATATGATGCGATTTCAATTTTTCCTTTCTCTTTGAAGTGTTACAAGCTCTTGGTGCATAAAGAAGA